TCTCTCTCTCTCTCTCTCTCTTATCATAACGAAGGGATATTAACAGGGGGCCGAGAAGATACTCACACAACATTTTTTAGTAGGGTCGATTTGCCAGTGCAAATCCAGCTATTCACTGCAGCGAGTCCCCTGCTGGCTCTGCATGGCTGCGATATCGCTGGCGATGCTGACAAAGGGACATGGACACACCTCCCTGGACGCTTGTCAGAGGGTCCCTTCCCACTCTGTGTTGTCAGACTTGATTCACAAAATGTGTGAGGCGAAGCTTTGAATGTAGAGCGGTACACGTATCCAGAGCAAGAACAACTCGGCTTATCTGAGAGCATGCACAGGCCGTACTGGGAGCCCAGGAAAAATGGTTTCACCGGCCTCTGACAGAGAAGAGGTAGAGCGAGACTAGTTCAGACAGCTACAGATAGAAAGGAAGCGGGCCTGTGGCCAGCAAATCCAGAGGCCTGATGCTCCAAGTTGCGTTCTAGTCGTGACTTTTATCGGCATTTATTTTAATGAATAAGCATCAGGATTAAGCGAGACACTGAATTACGACATTTCAGGAAGTTTCATGGGTGGGGAAGTGAGACCCAGAGGTTCAAGGTCTGCACACACTTCTTAGAAGTGATCTGGTGTTCCGACCCAGGTCCCCGGAGTCCCAGTTCAGGTGAGGCTCTGTTATACCCGATTGTGCCGAAGAAAGGTCTTCTGTTCCATTCATAGAATTGATTTAAACAACATTATTTTATAGTTCTGTAGTCAGGAATCTGGACTCAACTTGACCTCCCTCGTTTGATTGATCCAAATAGCAGTTATGGCTGTGCTCTCATCTGAAGGCTGGGCCGCTTCCTAGTCCTTAGGTACTAACCAGCCCCTCCGTACTTTAAGGCAAAAATGAACCAGGAGCCTAAAGGCAAAGGAATGTAAATAAGTACGTTAGCTGCTGTCTTCCAGAAAAACAGCGCCAACAAGATGCGTATAGGTTTATAGAGAAATTTATCTGAAGGCATTGGCAGCCTCACTTGGGGAGGTGTCTGAAGGCTGTGAAGCAGCCTAGCAATTTGGAGACCCAAAGACTAGTTGCTATGAAAGGGAGGGAAGGCTGCACTTGAATTCCTTTCCCTTACAAACAGACTTTAGCTTCTGTTAGGCCTTCACGTGACTGCCTGAGGCTCATCCACAGGACAAAAGCTAATCTTTGTAATTCAGAGTCTACTGAGTTGTAAAACAGTTTCTATTAATATTATTTGTAATTTACTCTGTTTTTAATTGACAAGTTATGTAGTTTATGGCTTACAATGTAATATTTTGATGTGTGTATACAATGTGGAATAATGAAATCAAACTAAATAATGTACGGTGCATAATGATTACATTTACAGTGAGGTGTTGGTACACATATAGGATACATCTTAATTATTTTTTTCATCCCCTATCCTTTCCCCTCCTCCCTGCTTCTTCCAACTCTTAACCCTCTTCCCACTTCCAAAAACTATTTTTAACATCATTTTCCCTTCATTTATTTTCTATTCCCATTCTCTCCCCTTCCTCCCCCTCCATCATCTGATCCCATCTATTTGAAAAAGATTTCCCTATTTCCTATTTATCTGTCTTCTATTTTGCCATATAAATACATATACATTTAAATTTCTCCTATAGGAAAACCATCCAGGGCCAGGGATTTAGCTCAGTGGTTATGCTGCCTGCCTAGTAAGCACAAGGATCCGAGTTTGATCCCCAGTACCAAAA